ACTTCCATAAAAATTTACAGCCTTGGGAACCTAATGGGAGTCACTATGAGTCGGAATCAATCAATGGTAGTGGATTATTTATTAAAGTGGAGCCCTGCTGGCACAGTGGTTAAAGCAGTTGGCCTTTAACCAAAAGGTTAGTGGTTCAAACCCACCAGTCGCTCTGTGGAAGAAAGATGTCGCAGTCTGCTTCCCTAGATTTACAGCCTTGGAAACCCTACATGGTCACTATGGATCACTATAGTTCAATGGCAACAGGTTTTTTAATTGAATAGAACAGGTGTATTTATTGAATAGAGCCCTGGCGGTATAGCAGTTAATCTCTGGGTTGATAACCCCAAGGTCATCAGTTTGAACTCACCAGTGTTTCTGTAGAGAAATATGTGGCAGTCTGCTCCCTTAAAGACTGCAGCCTTAGAAACCCTATGGGGCAGTTCTACCCTGTCCTATGTTGTTGTTGTTGTGCGCCGTCGAGTCGGACCGGACTCATAGCGACCCATCCTTTGGTTGCCGAGGCAGTATCACTACGGAAGTAGATTGCCCAACCTATAGGGTCCTATGAATAGGAATCAATTTGGTGGCAACAGGATTTTACTATTATTATTATTGAACACTTTTTTGGTGCCCAGGACCATATTTAATCTCACCCCATATTCCTTCAAAAGAATATTTTGTTTCCTTTGATCTTTACAGCAACCCTCTGAGGTGGCTCATTTACATATGAGGAAATGAAACCTAAAATGTAACTTGCCCAACCTCACACACCTAGAAATTGACAGAGCCAGGGTTTGAGTGCGAACATGTTTAGTTGCAATATCCCTGTCATTATGACATGCTGAGTCTCAACTCCAGTATATGTTAGAAAGGTGAGTGATGAACACAACATATCAACATCAAACTATGGTAGGTAGGTGGAACAGAAATAACAAACACAAATAAGAACTCAGTTTTTATAGAAAGATTGAGAGGCATTGAAATATGTTATCAGGGAAAGATGAAGAAATCTCCTTTCAAAGAGATTTTAAGAAATAGATCATCAGTCTGGGATGGTTAGATGCAACCTAAAGACAAAAGAGATGAATTAACCAGCTTGTGTTATGTGGTTTCATCCACACAAACCTCATCACCACTGTTAGAACTGGCCTCTTGTGTAAGACAAATAACAATTTGTTGTCAAATATGAGTGGAGTGGAAAAAACAAAACAATATTTTGTCTATGTTGTAGAGGAGAAAGCAGACTTTCTCTGTGTGCTTCTTCTGTGTCTATTAAAAAAAAAAAAAAAGATAGAAAACCTGGTAGGCTGTTGGAGTGTTTTGTTTTGTACTCTAGTCTTAACTATTGGAGCCTGCCATTTAATTTGATTGAAACTGGGTCAAATATAATATAGGTACTCATTCACTCCCCACACCACTGAAAAGCGATCACTTCTAGAGTAGAAAACCAGAGCCATTGAATGACATCACACAACAGTTTAGCACAGGAAGCAAAGTAGGATACCATGGATGGCTGCTCCTGCTAGGGGAATTTAGGAAAGCAGACTGTAATCTCCCAATTTAGAATCTGGCCAGTAGACAAGAGTCTAACGCCCCTACTCTTGAAAATAGCAAGGAATCTTTAATAAGCACCAGTAGTCATGTCCTTCACTCGGCATTTCATCCAAAAGATAAAACACTGTCATGGCTATGGTACCAGGCTAACCGATCTTCGATGCAATGGGAAACCCAAAGACAAGGGCACCCTCCATGAATCACAAAAATACCTTTCTCATCCAAAGATTTTTCATTCCAATTCCAAACCTCACTAGCATAAAGGAAACAAATAAATCCAAACGTGACCATTGCGAGAAATACATCATTACCTGACCACGAGTGGTTACTCTCTGAAGTGCTTTGTTGGACTAGTTAAAAGGGGGGGGGGGAGAATCACTGTAGCCTTTTTCTCTGTGTTCACTTCTCCTGGGTATGGCTTCTCTCCCATACTAACCTTGAGCCTTAAGATGCTTTGTAAATCCCTTGGCAAGTGGTGGCTGTAGTGGTAATGCCTCTTTTTAGCCTTTGAGGAAACGCCTCTCCTGGCCTTGTTTTCTTGCAAAGTCACCGGCAAAGAAGTCAACGTATTTTATTCAGCATAAATGAAATCCGAAGATCAAATTCTGTGAAAATAGATTGTTTCACATCCATGGAAAGTGCGCAGTGGATGGAAAAACTGACCTTGCTCAGGAGGCTCTTGACTTAGAAGTGCATAGGTCAAAGTACGATAGAGCACATATGTTTCTATCCCATGCTGATTCTGTAGTGCAGTGATAAAACCCTCCAGAGGAAATATTAAGATGCCTTCTGCTCTTTGTAACTGATTGTCAAGCTGGGATCTAAAGGTTCCATGTTTCTTTTAAATGAAAAAAAAAAAAAAAAAAAAGAAAGAAAGAACACGAACAGGCCATAGTTTCTGTCAATAAAATACATTCAAATTATAACCATTTCTGCTTCTGTATCTGTCTCTAAATTGCTATTAACTAAACCATGTCAAACGCTTTGTTCTACAACTGTGAAAAACTATTCATACAAAGGTTATGCTCATTATTTACTATATGGAAAAATTGGAAATTTAATTAAACCCAGTAGTGACAATAAATAATAATAAAATGATTATTTTATCATTACCTCAATTGATTCTCATGTTTACAACATAGTTACTTTTTTTTTTCATCCCAGATAACAGGAATAATTTTAATTTGATTATGTGGAGAACACGTGTTATGTTGCAAAAATTAACTACTTTAGTTTCTGGAGGTGTGTGTGAGATGCCGAGCATTCATTCCCATACCCTCATTGCAGAGAGTCAATTCCGACTCAGAGTGGCACTATAGGACAGAGTAGAATTGCCCCAGAGGGCTTCCAAGGCTGTAAATCTTCATGGAAACAGACTGGTACATCTTTCTC